CGCCCGCAGCTGCCCGCGGAGGCGGCCGGTGACTCACCGGGCGCATTAACTCCAGGCCTCGCTGGGCTCCTGCGGCTCTCGCCCCCTACCCTCCACCCTCCGCCCCGGCTGCGAAGTTTCAGCCTCGGCACGTGACGTGGCGCCCCGGCCCCCTCGGGGAGGGGAGTTGGAGGCCGCTGGGTTCGCGCCCACCCAGGTGGCGGTGGCCCGTGGGGCGAGCACCGGGCGGGAGGCTGGTTGTACTTCATCCCTGACTGTTCCCGGTTTGCGCCGCCTCACGCCTCGGGTTCTGCGATGACCGTCGAGTCACCTTTTGGAATCCTGTCGGTTTGGCATTGTCACCGGAGCTGGCGACGATCTTTGAACGCTCGGGTCCCGGCACGACGCTTTGTTGACACCGCTTATTACTGTTCCGAGTTTAAGTAGTTGGATATTTCCCCTCAGTTGGGTGCACCGAATGTTGCCGCCTGGGTTTTCCTGGAGGGGCATTGGCCCGTCCTCTTGACTTATTTGGTGGCGCAGTGCAGAGCTGAGCTGGGGAACCGATGCTGGGAAGGGGGGCTGTTAAAGGATGGTGGTGGAGGGGCCGGGGGTGAGTGCGCAGTGTTTGGAGGAGGCCGGGGATAAAAGGCTGATTTCATTTTTCATGCCTGTTTCTTTCTGCTTGACTTCTTGGGATCTGAATCTGGATTTTTTTTTTTTTTTAATGGGTGAGATAAGTGACATCTACCGCTTGAACTTTATCTGTGTCAGTGTTAAACACTTAGGTCATAGCCTTTCAGAGCAGCTTCTTTTGGACATAGCATTCTTGATCGCACCAGTGTGTATTTTTCTTTTCCTTTTTGGAGGGGCGGACTGGGAAGAATGTATTAAATAATAAGCAATAGTAAACAAAACTGTTTAGCCTTAAGATACAATACCCAAGTGACCTCTTAACCTAAGTGAATATCTTAAGTCAGTTTCACAGCAAAACATTTTCAACAAAAACTATGTCTAGTTTTGCTTAATTTTATTTTTTGAAAAGAGAGAGGAGTACCAGGTTTTCTCTATGTTTAATTATATATTCATGTTGTTTCTTAAATTAAGATTTCATGTACATATTAAGAATGGCTTTGTTAAGGGTTATGGAGTTAGAAAAAAATGTTTGCAGAGGAATTTGGAGAGATTCCTCTTTTGGGATTGGTGAAGGGATTATTTTATGTTTCTAGAATCCCTTTTCCCCTAAACATCTCCCTAATCATTTGTGGCACTGAGGCACTTGGAGACCTTGTGTCAGTGGTGACTGATGACTGGAAAAAGCCTGTATTTTTTTCTTCATCGTCTGTATGCCTAGTAAAGCTAAAACAACACCTGTAAGTGTGGCCTGGGACTCTTTAGGCATAGTGCAAATGGCTTTAACAAAATTAAACAGTAAAAAACTTTTAATGCTTTTTTTTAAGGCACAAACTGGCTTCTTCTTTTGCAATACTATGGGTGAGTGTGGGTGTTGTTTGAGATTTCTGCCCCTCATAATACTTGGTGTTTTGAGGTAACAGTTTTGTCTGATAATATTTTCATTCGTTCATTCAGCAAATAGTTTTGAAAGCCTTTAGGTGTAGATTGTGTTCTAGTCCCTGGGCTCAGCTGTAATCAAAGCAGTCAAAAAATTCCTGCCATCATAGAACTTACATTCTAGCATGACGAAATAATAAAAATATATAGTTTGTTAGAGGTTAATAAGTGCTATGAGGAAAAGTAAAGCAGGGAAATGATGGTAGAGCAGTGCCAACAGAATGGAGAGACTTGTGGGGTCGTAATGATTTTAAATAAGATGGTTAGGGAAGGCCTCACTGATAAGGTGATATTTGAACAGAACCCTAAAGGAGGTGAGGAAGCAGGCCATGTGGATTGTCTCAGGGAACAGCATTGTAGGCAGAGGAAACAGCACGTGCAAAGACCTGAGGTGGAAGAGTGCCTAGTTTTGCAGGTAACAGCAAGGAGGCCAATGTGGTTGATACTGAGTAAGAGGGAGGATAGTAGATATGATCATTGAGAAGGGGTAGGGGAGATTCTGTAGGGCCTCATAGACAGACTTCTACTCTGAGATGGAAAACCATCTCACTAGGTTTTGAGCAGTGTAATGAGATCTGATGTACCTTCTGAAAAGATGGCTGTGGCTGCCATGTTGACTAGAGTATATCAGGGGCAAGGATAGAGATGGACCTGTTAGGAGGCTCTTTTTCACTGTTGGAGGTGAGAGTTGTTGGTGGCTTGGACCAGGGCAGTAGCCATGAAGTGGTTAGAAGCTGGATATATTTTGAAGGGAGACTCAGCAGGACTTGCTGATGAATTGAGTATGGTATTCATACTCAAAGAAAGTGATCAGAGATGACTCCAGGGTTTTCTGCCTAAGCAATCATAAGCACCTTTATTTACTAAAATTGGAAGACTGATGAAGAAGCTGGCTGGATATTAGTTTAGCTTTGGACATGTTAAGTTTGAGGTTCCCGTTAGACATTCAAATGGAGATACCAAGTAGGCAGGACATCTTTCAGGGGTCTGAATTTATTTTTAGATATGAATCGAAAGCCATGAAATTGGGTGACATCACCCAGGGAGTGGGTGTAGATAGAAAAGAGGATTGAGTCCTGGAGACATTCCAACATTCAGAGGTGAGAAGGATGAGGGGAAAACAACCAAGGAGGTTAAGAAATGTGACCAGTGAGGGGCTTCCCTGGTGGCGCAGTGGTTGAGAGTCCGCCTGCCGATGCAGGGGACACGGGTTCGTGCCGTTGTCCGCGAAGATCCCACATACCGCGGAGCGGCTGGGCCCGTGAGCCATGGCCGCTGAGCCTGCGCATCCGGAGCCTGTGCTCCGCAACAGGAGAGGCCACAGCAGTGAGAGCCACCCCCCCCCAAAAAAAAAAGAAATGTGACCAGTGAGAGGAGAGGAAACAAGAGAATGTAGTATCATGTTCCAGCTAACAGTCTTCTTAACTGTTTCCACAGAGTTACATTTAAGGATCAGGAAACAAGGCCAGTGAGTTAGGCAAATTAGTCAGAAGGTTGTTTCTGTTTTGCTGCATTAATTTCAAAGTTAATGATAGTTAAGTTTCTATTTTACTTTTCTGGAGCTGATCCATTTTTATCACACTGTTTCTTAGCAAGTTGTCACCCTGCCTGTAGAAGATCTTAATTGACTTCTATTAAACGTAAATTCTACCAATTGCTTTATAGACTTTTTCTTAACATATGCATATTCCTAGAACTCACACTGTGCAGGTGGTGGGACATTGTTATCAAATGAAGGACACAAACCATATGATGAAGTAACAATTAAATAGACTGAGACTTTATGAGAAATGAGACCTAGACACTTCTCCAGTAAGGTGCTGCTTTACCAACAATGGAAAAGACTTCTTTCATCTCAAGTAGGTCTTTTAACAGCAGAAGATAATTTAAATATATATAAATTTAAAATATTTTAAAATGGAAGACCTAGAAATTTTATGGAGATGTCTCTCTCTATATGTATACTGATACAGCAGTATTGCCTATTGTCCTTTCTCTACCATGTCTTAGCTGTTGTGCTTCTCCTACTCACTGTATGTTTTCAAGATGTACTTTATCCGTAAACAAAATTGTCCCTTAAATGTTAAAGCAGAAATGTTTAAATTTCCCTTAATGTTAAAGAAAACAAAAAGTTTCAAACTGATTCTTTATTGCATAAAGAAGAAAGGGACTGTAAATAGAAGTCACTGGAATTAGTTGATGTGAAGGGAAGAAGGTGTCATTTTGAAATTTTCTTTTATGTCTCTCATTTCCTCTAAGACCTAGCTGTAGGAATTTATGTGGCTTGATTTACATCACAGATCTTTCAGGCAATGGAAAAATGAAGGATGTGGGGCTTCCCTGGTGGAGCAGTGGTTAAGAATCCGCCTGCCAGTGCAAGGGACACGGGTTTGAGCCCTGGTCTGGGAAGATCCCACATGCCGCGGAGCAACTAAGCCCGTGCACCACAACTACTGAGCCTGTGCTCTAGAGCCCACGAGCCACAACTACTGAAGCCTGTGTGCCTAGAGCCCGTGCTCGGCAAAAAGAGAACCCACTGTAATGAGAAGCCTGCGCGCTGCAACGAAGAGTAGCCCCTGCTCGCCACAACTAGAGAAAGCCCATGCGCAGCAACGAAGACCCAACGCAGCCAAAAATAGACAAATAAATAAATAAATTTAAAAACAAAAAACAAAAAAAAGAAAAATGAAGGATGTAATTAGACCTTTATTTAAGTAACATAAATATGCGAACCCCCAAGAAGGAAAGGCCTTTGCCTCTCTCTTTTATAGTACCTTATACATAGTACATAGTGTTTAATAAGACTTACACATGAGTCTACAAATTGTGTGGTGACCAGAATATTCTTAAAGCTTTCCCATGGTAACTTGGATTCAGTACTGATGATAGATATGGAAGTCTGATGGGTGAGCACTGCCACAGACCTTTGTTTAGAGATCTTCCTTGGTGCCTCCAGCTGTTTATTTTTAGCCTTGGTGTCTTGGCTCTGGTTTCCAGAAGAGCTTAGAGGCAGTGGAGACCATGGTCTAAATTCAAATATAAAATTTAGTTGAGACTGACAGTATCATGCCACAGTAGTGCTGGAAAGGACCTTAGACATCATTTAGAGTGAAGAAACCAAGGCTGAGAGTTTAAGGTCTTAGAGATCATATTTGACCAGCGCAGGCAC